AGAACAAGATAGTTCTAGAAACAAGAGAGCGTGAGAATTGTCACGTGATCTCGATGACGCAACAGCTGAAACAAAGATTTTAAGTTTTGAACAGAAATAAAAAACTGTACAAAAAAACAAAACAAACTGAAAATATAACCTAAATAAAACAAATATATTTGAGAACTATTGTAACGAAAAATAGGCTTAAATATGGAGTATTGAGAGAATTAGAAACGTTAGTTCTTGCTTGGAGATCATCTTGCTGTGAAAATGATCCATTACGTGGGTGTATGTATGTGTCAGCATCCATCGTCCAGAGTTGGGTGACTCGATTACCCTCACTTTTGATATGGTAACTGGAAACTGTCTGACGATGTACATGGGCTATTTTGTTTTAGTTTTTTCCGAGAAAGGAGCTAAAAAAGACCTTAAAATAGAGCCAGGGCTGGCGCGACTAGGGGGTGCAGTATGCGCATTTGCACAGGGCAGCAGGATTTTGGGGGCGACGAAAATGAATGTCAAAATAAATTGGTTCTGGTCACTAGCTGCTTCCTGGTCGAGTAAAAAATTCCTCGTCAGGCAGAATCGTCATACAGCTAGAACATAACACTACTGCTGCCTACAGATGATTCACGAAAAATTTGTTGGGGGTGAAAGAAAGGGGTGGCACAGTCAGCATTTGCACAGGGCGGCAAAACACGTCGCGCCAGCCCTGAAAGAGTACACTTCCACTGTTTTATACAGTTTTGCCTTGCATTATTCAGAGTTGGCTGGCTCGATTACTGTAAGTTTTTCAGTAGTAACTAGGAACTGTCCGACTGTGTAGGAATTTTGCTAGAGAAAGAGGATAAAGGCCCTGAAATAAGGCATATTTTCACTTTATTTATAGACTTGTGACCGCCCAATATTTTGAAGGCCCGATAATCACGGATTTTTGGTTTTCGCAATATAAGTAAAAATTCAACGAATAAACGACTTCGTATGTCCATCATAGATGACTGCAATCTCAAATGAAATGTTTAAAGGATACATCTTGGCGGGGGTTTTGGGGGACCAGCGCGCTTGCTTTCGTTTTAAATACAAACAACAGAAATACTTGAATCGACATTGTAGTGTACAGCTCATTGGCTTGGTGTCAAGATAATTTTACTTACTGGAAGCTTTCACCATGTTTAATGAGTAGAGGATATAACATTCGTTGCCACAGATTGTTTGTAATTAAACACAAAGCTACGAAAGGAGCTATCTGTGCTCTGCCCATCGCGGGTATCGAAACCCGGTTTCTAGCGTTGTAATTCCGCAAACATACCGCTGAGCCACCGGGGGGGGGGGCTCGTTGCCACAGCACTATGGAATAAGAATCTTGAATGTCCATTCTCTCAGAAGAGCTAGATTCCCAAATCTAATCCTGATGGGTAAATATGTGGGCTCTGCAGCTAACACTATCCATGCATACAATAAAATAACATCGGGGAAATGATGATAAACGCTATCCATCCATTCATGTGAAATTACAACCTTTTAGGTCATATCCTGGGGTCCATCCATTCTTGTGAAACTGCAACCTTTTAGGTCATATCCTGGCGTGATTTTGTCATAAAATTTCACAAATTTAACCAAACAATCAATTTTGCATTTTAACTGTTAACAAATATAACAACTTACATCTTTGGACTATCGGGCATTCGTACTAATGGGCTCTCGGACTAACGGACTGTCACCTATAGACTTTTGGCTTTGAATGTAAAAAAATAGAGAAACAAAAAACAAGTACTTAATGAGTTAAATGATTCAATTATTACCCCCACACAAAACAAGGTATGCAATTAGCATCTAATGAGGTAATTAGGGATTTGATAGCGAAAGAAAGAAGGAAGAGGAGCACTAACATTGACCTTTATGAAATGTTTGCTTCCTTAAGGGGAGTGCCTTCAGCTAATTGTTGTAACACAGATTTGCAGACTGGTATGTTCGATTTTTCCTCACCATCACCCTTTTTTATTCAGGTGGATTACTTCCGTTTTTTCAGGGTAAATATTTCTAACGAAATGGTTTTTAAGCCAATATTATTTTTTTTGCGGTTTTAAAGCCTAAATAAAGACTTGTTCTCAAATCAAACCCAGCCGTCCATATAAATCATATATTTAAGTCTTGGCTACAATAGCATGATATCACACGCCTCACTTTCAAGGTCTCCAATTCCCTAAATGGAATGAAAATAGAAAATAATTTGGCAGTAACTTGAAATTTTTTTTACGTCTTTTCATATTTAACTGTCATTTCTGCAAATGTAACAAAATAGAGCTTCCTAATTGGATTATTATATTGCTGCTTTTTCTATTTCCGTCTAGCGATTGACAAAACTCTCAATGGACTAGAAATTGTATAAGTTACAAGTTCAAGCGCCCTCTAATGGCAGCAATGACGTGTTGTTATTAACATGTTTTTGACAGATATATTTTTACTTTACAAAATAATTTCCCAAACTTCTAAGTTATTCCATAAATTTCTTTCGCGAGTATATTTAAAAAAATATTATCATTATTATTTGTTTGTCATTTCGCGAATATTTCTGGAAATATTTAATAATAAATTTATTTTATCCCCAACACTCTTAAATATAGTAAAATGTACAAACTAATAATGATATTGTTTGATTTTTTTTTCATAATAGTCTCTAAAACATGAATATTGGATTAAATAAAACGCTTTGACGATTAGTGATTCAAGCTAGAGTAACTTAGACCAGCGTTTCCCAAAAGATAGGCTGTAAGTTGTAACTGCCACTAGGCTTGTAAAGATATATCAGTTCTCCAGTTTCTCAATAACTAGAAACCCACTTAAGTCCTCTTGTTAGATACATGCATTGCTTCACTAAATGTATTATATTGTTGCGTCATCGAGGTCACGTGACTGGTGTGGCGCCCTCTAGTTTCTAGAACTATCTTGTTCTTTCAGGAATGCTCTAGTATTTGCTAGATAGGGTAGGCTGGTATATAAAAGAGGGGAATGTAATGTGTGTGTAGATAGTGAGTAATTGATCTGCAGTCAGAAGTATTATTGAGCACGTTCGTTGTTATAGCGTTTGTTTAGCGCGATTGTTGAAGTTGAGTGTATCGGTAAAGTTATATTCGAAAAGAATAAACCAGTTTTTATTAAGAAAGAACGCGTGTCGCTTAAGTTTCGTCGTAACGAAGTTACGGAAAGTTAATTAACAAACAGAGACGTAACAATATTTTTATAATCTAATGTTATAAGTATAATATGAGATGGATATGTTCAGTAAAAATTTGGAACACCTTAATTTAGGTGATAAATGTATTGATAACAATATTGGAAGATCTCAAAGTTATACATATTGTTATTTTTTCTTAAGATTTCACTGTGTACAACTGTCGTTTTGCAGTTTGCTCGTAAATTAAAATGTTCCAAAATTTTAGCTAGACAAAAAAAAATTCAGGAGTTTCATTAAAAATAAACAATATGTCAAAGTATTTTTACAGAGGATACACTTTTAGAACATCTTAAGAAAATCTTAATGGTCTTTGAATTAAGAAAAATCAAGATGAGCTTACCAAATTCTCAAATAAGCTAGTGTTAGAGCGGCACGCCACCGTACAACAAAATTGGAAGATTTTACATCTTCAAACACACATCCCACGTGAACTATACGTGATGAGAACGTTTGGTTGGTTTGCGTAACAATGAGTACTGACGTAAAGAAGGCACAATACATTAACGGTAGGAATTAGTGATATTATCAACATTGCAGTCATTCTTATCACGGGGTTTTGTATACCTCGACAACAGAGCTGCTTTCTTTAATACAACACCTCTGTCACGTGGATTCTGATAAAAAAAAACGAGGTGGTAAGTTTCTCTGTTTGGAAGTTCTTTTTCGTTGTGAGAATTCGTATATAAATGTTACCGAGTTTCTCAAATAAGAGATAAATGTTTTTTTTATTTCTTTTTCGTGATTGCGTTGTGCTAGAATTGTGCTCATCAGAAAAGTTTTGAGTTTGATTCAGTTAAGATTTAGTTTTATTTTTTCGTTGTTCCTTCTTAGGAGTCGTTTAAACAGAAGTGCGATAAAGGCCGTTTTCTTACAATTAGCACAAGTATAACTGATTTGAAAATTCTTGGTGATTTTTTTTCCAGGATATTTTCCTTTCGAAAGTTACTAGTAACAATTTTAACTTGCCCAATTAATCAGACTATCTGTTAAATAAACACGTTTTGAATTTAAATAGTGCTTATTGCAAACTTGAATAGTAATTCGCTACCAAAGTCCATCTTAAACAACTTAGAGAGTCTTAACTTCCTTTAGATTAGGCGGAATTTTTTTATGATTGAAGAGACTAGCTTCAATCTCGGCAAGAAGAAGAAAAACGTGATCTGACTGTTGATTTATTAAATTAGGCTGTAAATTTTGAAACTTTCTTATAACTATTGAGCGTCACTAGGGTATATTGAGTTTCTTGAATAAGCAGCATGATGACATCAGTGATTGTTACTGGTCCCCACAGAGGAGGAGTAGCTCTTTGTCTGAGTCCCCAAGGACGGCGGAATGGGGAAGCTCTTGTAAGGTTCGTCAATCAAGAGCACAGAGATATGGCCCTAAAGAGACACAAACATCACATTGGGCAACGATACATCGAAGTCTACAGAGCTACTGGGGAAGACTTCGTCAATGTTGCGGGAGGTAAGGACTGACTAATTTTTTTGTAATTTCCAAACTAATTCTTTGTTCCAGAAATAAAAACAATCCCATTTACGTCACTGGTCCATAGAGCTACTTTATAATGTTATTTTGCATAATATACAAATTAGGAAATATTTAAAGATTTTTATATTACAGACAAAGAAAAAAAAGTTTAATCGATTTTTTTCAGATTAAATAAATAATGATTAAAACAATTATGTTCATGTTTTATTGAGCCTGTACCGTTAAGAAAACATTCTACCGAAGCCTGTAACCACGTGAATCTCTTTAAAATATATTTGCATTTTAACTGACACTGAGTGGCGCTGTTGACTGAGCTTTACACTTTTAAAAATATTAGTATTTAATTTATTCACCAGAATAAAATGATTAAGTGTTTCATGTACCCAATATTACAGCTTAAATAAATTGACGCATTGCTCACTAATTTTGTGAATATGACAGAATAAGTGATTCGTTTACTTAATATTTGGTTACCAATAGAAGCAGTAAAAGGAAAAAAAAAAGAGAGTCAGACATGATCATTAGATAAGCAGTAATAATTTAAGTATCCGGTCGACAAACAGTAAAGATGTCCGTGCAACTTATTTTACTAGTGTTTCAAAGGTTGTAGGGAGTATATTTAAACTTGATATCTTCTTGTACATTATCTTTTCCACTCCAAGAAAGCTGTTTTTACCCATAACTCTATCTGGTATACATAGTACTTGTACTTTGATGCTTTCGTGAAATAAATGTTATCAGCAAAAGTTCAATGATGATATTTTTTATTCAGTGAAAAGAGTTTAGAAACAACTGGCAGATTAAACAGTCTTTGTTATATTGTGTGTTTTATCGAACGTCAAGAAATTATATTATCGAAATTTTTACGTTCTTACAGGAAAACAATAAGAAAAACTAAATTCTGACTTGTTTGTTTTAGAATTTTTTTTTTGCAAAGTTACACAAGGGCTAGTTGGGCATAGCTGTCCCCAATTTTTAACTGATAGACCAGAGGGAAGGCAGATAGTCAATAATACTCACTGCCAACTCTTGGGCTACTCTCATCTGATCGAATAGCGGGATTTGACTCTTACAGCACATTCACGGCCCCAAAATGCGGAGCGCGTTTTTGCGGAAACGGGTCGTGAACGTTGAGTCTTCGGATTTACAGTTCGGACACACTAACCACAAGGCCGCGCCCCAGCCCTAAATTATGAAATTACATGTATTAGTGTATCATTTGTATTACGTTTTACATTCATAGTAAAATTAAAGTGAATACTATTGCAGTCATACGTCGACAATAATCCATACGTGCTTACTAAAACAGTGTTCAAGCGTTAAACTTTTACAGTACGTTAATATTTTAACTTTCTTGCTATTATTAGTTACATTGATATCAACCATTCTTCAACAGTCATAACTTTACTGCTACTATGTAACAATTATAATTTTACCGCTACTCTGTAACAATCGTAACTTTACAGCTACCCTGTAACAATTATGATTTTACCGCTACTCTGTAACAAAACTAGAACTATTTTTCAGGAAGTAATAATGAGGCTCAAACATTCCTTTCCCGCGGTGGACAAGTGATTGTGAGAATGAGAGGCCTTCCTTATGATTGCACAGCTAAGCAAGTGGTAAGTAAAAATTTCAAACAATTATAATTTTACTCTTGAGGGCAGCATGGCGTATTTGTTGCACGCTTGGGTTCATAATCAGTTGGTTGCGAGTGCGAGATTGGCGCGCGTTATGATGTTGTGTCCTTGAGCACGGCACTTTATCCCTATTGTTTCAGTCTACCCAGCTGTATGATGAGTACCAGCTGTTAGCTGGGGGTTAACCTGTGATGAACTGGCATCCCGTCCAGGTTGAATGTGTCGCCATTCTCATCCGCTGATTCCAATTAAGCCGGATCCTATGTGCCATCTTGGCGTATGAAGGATTTAACTTTAATTTAACAATTACTCTGTTAAGAGCAGAGAGGTAAGTCAGTAATTCTACTCTATAGCCCGGATGAATATAATGTTCTGATTACAGTTTTTTTTCAAGCATACAAATGTTAAATTTACCGGTGTTAATAATTTTTGGAGAGTGCAAACTCTTGATTTTAATATTTAGAACGTAATGTTGTATTTTCAATAGAAATATTAACCAGCAGGTTAATTATTAAAATAACTAGAGATATATTATACGAACAAGTGTAACTCAACCCAGAAATGAAGACTGGCATAACGTTGTTAAAAAGAAACAAACAGTATTTAATTTAATAGGTTCAACACGACTGAGTATTGGCACATGAACTCTATGCGGCCGGACAGACCCTTGACAACTGTATTAGTAAATTGCCAAAGCGTTTGTGGTCCTGAAATGATACAAGAAGCAGCAAATCTACCGGTCATACCTTAACTAACAGAGGGCAAGAACAATCATCCACGAAACAAACAAAGAACTAACTTTACTTACGATTATACATAATACTAAACCCATTAAAGACTCCCAAGACGCCACATCAACCGCATCATTAAGGAAGTTCCATTAACAAAAAAAGGGAAACTAGAGTTTCTGACTTCTTCAACTCCATACATAATCAGTATCCTAAAAAAAAAAAAACCTCATTAAGACCAACTTAACGATTCTTCCAGAAAGTCGGTCATATTTGAAAAATTGACAAGCCTTTAAGTCAAATGGTCAAACGTGTCTGTCTTCTCCTAAGAACAGGACTAGCTCAGATCAAGGTTGGCCACATCCGGTTCGTTTAGAACTTGTAATCAAGTTCAGAAACCTGTATTTAAAGTATAAAAAATTGTATTGTAGAAGGGTTTCGTTGATGATGTTTACATATAACATAAGCTTTAGATGTTAAACTTTAGATGTTAAACAGTATGATTATGGAGATCAATGTCACCAGTACTAAGAAAAGTGTTTGTTCTTGAGATTTATTGTGATTTGATTTCGTTGGTTTTGACACATATCGTTTTTAGACTGTGTTCTCTCAGACAACTGTGACGATCGCTTGTGAGGCCATTTCCTTTAGCTGACAAGTTTTCATTTGATGTATTTAGAATTGTTTCTCTTTAAGATATTAAAATATCATATAATGCTTTGTCTGCATTGTTTTAACTTTAGACGTACTTTTTGTTGTGTTTAAAAATGTGATATTCTGCTTTTATATTTATCATTTAAAATTAAACTTTTTTTGGAAGCATAATAAACTAATGTTTTTTTAACAAAATATTGCCCCTAAACTTAATCTTTTTCTTCTAGTTGGAGTTCTTTGGCAGTGGAGACAGCCCCTGTCAAATTCTTGATGGTGAAGAAGGTGTTCTGTTTGTGAGAAAAGCCGATGGACGGGCGACTGGAGACGCATTCGTGCTGTTCGAGTCTGAAGATATGGCAGCACGCGCTCTTCAGAAACATAGAGAGCTTATTGGCTCTCGCTACATTGAATTGTTCCGTAGTACAACAGCTGAGGTTCAACAGGTGACGTCACTCTCTAAAGTGCGCATGTCGATGATATAATAGATAATTTGTAAACTTATGAATGTTTTGAAACGGGAACATTGTAACTCGATGTTAAAAATCATATTAGCATTGTGGTAATATTTTTTAAAATGAGTCCAATTAAGCATGACCTTCAATTTTAATTTTCGTATTGGTGCAACTTTTAAGTCTATGTTTACCTCGGATGCGTCTTGTAGAAACATCTTGGATCCTTTCATGAACATATTGCAGATATTATAGAAAGTAAATGTAGGGATGGCTAATATCAATCCTTCAAAAACAATGCAAACAACATAGTAGTGGGGATGGCATTTGCATCATCTCTACATAATAGCGTAGACACACAATGTAGTAGAATGTTAACAGACAAAAATAGGATAAATTAATCTCAATTGTGATTGAATAGTTATATATATATATATATATATATTGCTATATGTTAATTTTTGCTTGTGCTATTATGTAGGGAGTGATGCAAATAGCCATCCCTACCTATCTTGTTTG